TATTTTACGTCATGGGATTTGTTATCTATACGATAAACAAAAAAATATAGGATAGGATAAATCCCACTAATAAAATTAATAATATATCGAGGATACATGTCTCTTTCGTTCTTCGCTCGCTGCACAATTTCTTATGCAACACAGCGAAGAGCGGAAGAGAAATATATCCTCGACATATTACTAGTTTTATTAGTGGGATTTATCCTATCGTATGTTTTTTTTGTTTATCATATAGATGACAAATTTCATGACGTAAAATAAGAAGGAAAACCCATCCCATGTCGTTCTTTTTTTTTAACTAGCGCCGTTATAACGTCAAAACGCCATATAGTGGCGTTATTTGGCATTATAGCGACGCTAAGTATCGTAATATAGTTAAGCTTTGTAGCGTCGCCATAGCGGTAACGCTAAAAAGAATCGTTATAGCCGTTGCGCTTTCGTTTGCAAACAAAATACTTCGTGAAGTGTTCTTTATTGCACTGAAATTTTTAATGATCTGATTGATTGAAATAATCACAACTAATAGAATTAGCGTATGATATTGATGACTGTTCGAACTTTATCTTGAACTCTGGGTTTTTGTATGAGGATTTGTTGTCTCAAAAAGTACCTCTTAGTATTTAGACTTTGTGAATCATTCACTATTTGAATGTTAATTTCTAAAAGTATAGTTCTCTGGAGAAGTCTAGAACAATTTATATTACCATAAGCAGAAAAGACATTTGATTTTTTTACCTTCGTATGATATAGCACAAACAAAAATGATTTTTTTAAAGAAATATGCTACTATTTTTAAGATTTACTTTTTAAACAACAATGATTTATTGTAGTAGGTTTTTAATCAAAATTAACATCTATATAGTTTTCTTTTTTAATAAGCTTGACTTTTTATGTTCTAAGAGTTTGGAATCCATAATATAGCAAAGTTCTTTGTCCATATAAAAAGAATAATCTTATAGCTCGTTCACATAATAGCTATCTTAAAGCAGTTCGAGAAGCCAGATGGGAATCAAATGGGGGTAAAGAAACAGCTGTGGATAGAATTAGGTTTGTGTTCTTTACTTCGAATATTTAATTACCCTCACACAGATCATTTATGAATTCATGTATTTTGTGAGCTTGGGGGATATTTTATCTTTAGCAAATCGATTGTATTCATGTATAGACAAAAAGACAATACAGAAAATGGAGAATAAACTTCAACATTTGCTTGTTCGTCGTAATATGAAAGTTTTTTTTTCTTGAATCAATTACAATGGCATCACAATAGAAATCAAAAAGTCGTATTTTTGCACTTCATGTCGGAACACCTATAATGGTCAATCATTTACCGATTCTTCTATTTTCCCATTTCGTCATTTATTCATTAGCTATTAAATTCTTCTATTCATGTCAAACAAAGGAAGAGATACTAGTTAATGAACGTCTTCTTGATTTTTATTGTCACACAGCTTCGAATGTACATAACCTATCTATCGAAATATTTTCTTGACATGTACGTCTTCACCTTTCTTATACAGTTTGCCAAGATGGTGGGTAGAACACATCTCAGCATTGACTTTCGAATAATTGATCTAATATATAAAAAAGAAGCTCATAATAGTATCAATCTCGCTTTTCAGATTGCGTATTCCATCAAAATGTGACACGTAACACAACCCAACAAGTTTAATTTAACGAAAGATTGTCTGATGAGCGTAAGCACAATTAAGAGAAGCATACAAAAATTGTAACGATTTTATTTGTATACAATTATTTTGTTCGATATAAAAAAAAACAGGATACATTATAGATAAGTGATCATGTCACATTTTCTTTTTCACTTCTGACCGATGCGGTTATGTGAGTTGTGTGATTTTTTTCTTTTCCCTCGAACAGAACAGACGGCAAAAGAAGCAAGTAAAATAGCTTACATGATCGTAACAACCATATTCACACTTATTTCATTCTTTATAGATGACAAATGGTCGTTATCTATTTTTCTTTTTGTCTCTCTTTTATTGGCATAAACATTGAACTCAGACGATCCTACATTCATGTAATATCTTGTATCAATGGCAACTACAGCAAGGTCGTACGTTTGTACAAACGTTAACGATCTTCATTCGTTACATTTCCTTCTAAGATATACGATCGTACTTTCAATTGTAATAGTCACTTTTTTATTTTATTGACAACAATAGCATTAATATGGTTCCGTATGGCAAAGTAATAATACCTATCTGAAGAGATAATAAAAATTATGTTTCTATTCAACGGAGTGTTTGTTGTGACAAGAAATTTCACGTGGGAACTACCTAGTGAATTACATGATTGAATAAGCATGTTTTCCAATGGTTTCTCTTTCCAACAATTTTACCATCATCCTAGTTACTAATCTTTATCATACATGTATTCTACTTTCACTATCTAATACATTTTGTGTATCCAAGATAAAAATTGATCATGAACACGATTGATTTTAATTAGAAGTTTTCTTTTTCTACGCTTTTTAATCCTTTCATTTAACCCAAAACTGTTAGATCAAATTACTGTTTATTGGTTGAGCAAGATGGTTTTATGTTGGTTTAATCTGGTCGTAAAAACAATGGTTTCGTATTTGAAACAGGTAATATGATAAGTCATGATTAAAATTCAAAAGAACAGTTTCATTTATTATAGGTAGTGTTGAAATATGCAACAAATCTACTGATTTTCTGTCATAAAAAGAACATGAAGACATAAAGAGGGATTATGAACGAGGAAAATAAGCTGTATCATGAAAAGATATCAGTCTGAATATGCCTAGTATACATAGCTTTTCTCTTTTTACACATGTTAGTTTGTTTTATTTGAAAAAAAGTGTAATTCTCTCAAGGACGCACCATTGTCAATTGATATTCCAACAAGCGATCTTAATGAATGGTCCTCTCGACATACGCTGCCTAATTCAAGTAAGTGACCTAAAATGAATTATCGTCTTTGGTTCTTTTTTTTATTAATCAACTCAAGATAAAATGGAAGAAGAACAGCCGTGTCGATTTATTTGTAAATCTTTGAAGCTCAACGTTTCAATTTACTTTTGAATTGTGTGGATATAAACAGTATTGTAACTTCGATTCGAGTGAAGGGTTGTGGTGATACAGGCAAGATAGCTAAAGCTTTGTTTCATTCGTAAGGAAGATGATTATTCATTCTTGACATTGTAGGTTGGCAAGGAACTCGTAATGAATATTATCCCATAAGTAATGATGATCCAAATGCAACAAATACAGCATGTAAATATATTCTGTTTTATCTTTATTATTTATTATATACGATGTTTCGCAACAACAACTACCTCTATTTCATGTACTGATCCAAAAGCTATGTCATTATTTTTATCAACAACTGATAGTGATTTAATTTTGGCACAAGGAACACCAACATTAAATTCTATTTTGAATATCAATGTACGTAAACGACTGGTTATTGACTCATTTTCATCATCACGAAAGAAAAAAAATCTAAAAAAGTATAATATGACGATACGGCATCAGCTGATACTGAATCCGATGAAAATAATTTTATTCGATCAATTGAACCAATTAAACCTTCTAAGTTTAATGGTCGTTGATGAATTAAACGCTGCTACAACTGATACTAGAATTAATAGATAGATGGATAAAGACAGTTGTTTTCAGTCTGTGAAAAAAGAAGCTTTATAACATTGTTGATTGGTTAAGAGAGGTTAGAAATGATGATGAAGTCTTTATATAAGAATCAAATGTAGATTCAAAAAGCTTTAAACAAAGGAGGAGTATCATATTACAAAAATTTTCTTCTTAAAAAAACACTAACTATTGCTTAAAACATACATCAATTACTATAATGAAAGTTTTATTGATGTGACAGTTGAGTCTACAAGCCAGTTCAGATTGGAGTGGTATATTTATAATTTTATTATAAGAAACACAATGAACATACGAAACTACAACCACTGTTACTACAGTGATTATTTTGTTTGTTTTTCTATAAAGTTTAAATTCTCGCTATACTTTTTCTAATGATGGAGGCATGGAGACATTTAAAGATTGGTTAAACTCGATTAAAAAATAGATCGTTTTTTGTTATACGATAACCTAGTATTTTGTTCTTTTTCTCTACAACTTATATAAATCTTTTCTATTTTTTCTAACTGATGCGATATAATAATATTCAGTAAAGAGTTAAATTTGATTGAAAATACATTTGTTTCTTATATAATGATCGAGTATTTCGTTTTCTGCAATCAATATAAATTTTCTCTGTAATTTTTAAATGCTGAGAATATGCAGACATTGAATAATTTCTTAATTTTCATTGAGACAAAATTTTTTCCACTATCTCTTTAATAGTGAAGTTTAATCATAAGATGGGTTACACGAGCAGAAAACAGCGTTAAAAAAATATTTAAAAACTTTTTAATTAGTTTTTTTATTAATAAATCAAAAAAAAATTAATATATATTTTTAAATGTATTTAATATGATTTTATTCATGAAGAATCATTTAAATGAAAAATTTTCCACTCGTTATCAAAGCTTTATGAATCAAAAAACATTTTTGTACTTTTTTATTCTTTTCTTTTTTCATTATTTCGCGCATTGCAATCGTAACTTAAAATCTCATGTGAACTGTGACGTATCTTACTTAATTTAGGTACTCATTTCACTTGAAGAATCAGCTAGTGTTGACAATGATGATACAAGTTTTTCTTTGTATTTAGTGAGTATGATCTTCAATTATGTTCTCGCTTCTATTTTCTATATCTAGATTTTTAAATCATCTGAAAATGAACCTGGTGTCGATTTACTCAAAATTCCTGGGACAAAAGATAAAGCAAATCTTTATGCAACAATAATACTCCAATTGATGTACACTATGGAAGAGCTGGTTGCATTACAACGAACTGATATTTATAATGATAATCGATATAAATTGATAAAAGGTAATAATTCAGTTTTTCTCATGTTAAAATCGTAATTCTTTATTTTTAGAAGCTGTTCGTGTTAAGTTTAAACTTACTTATGATCAAATAGAACAAATATTTAATGAATGGCTTCGGGAAGTTTTTCTTACAAAGAGGAGAATGGCGGTGGCAAAAATAAAATTTATGAAGCACAACGAATAAATTCGTTTTGTACACGAAGAAATTTTTTTGTATAAGAATTTGTTTTTTTTCTGTTGTTGATATCTATTAAATGTATTTTTTTTTACATATTCAAATAAAATTTGAAAGAAAATCATGGAATTTATTTAGAAACAAGCCTTTAAATATGAACCAGCAGAATGTATCAAGAGTGCAGGCTTATAGAAGTACTAAAATAGTGAAAGATGTAGCGTTATAGCGCGCAATATCGGTTCGTATTGCCGTTATAGCACGCAATATCGGCTCGTATTGCCGTTATATCGCGTAATAACAGCGCGGCGGAGCGTTAAAAGGGGTCACAGTGCGATCGCAATAGCGGCGTTATAACGCCACTATTTAATCGTTATCGACGACATGGGATGAAACTCAACGATAAGAAATAAATAGACATCTTTGTGCAAAAAAAAATAATAAAAACTAGTTTTTTTCTCGTCATTGAAAACATGAGAGTCATCATGGTTGCCTTATTATTCTACATTACAAAAAATGTCTTGTTAAAACCAATTCAAACCGACAAAGATGCATTAACATATTTAACTAAACTAGGTTATAATCAAAATCAATATAATTCAACATCAAAATTACCACGTAGTCGAAGTTCATCATCATCAATTATAGGCGTATATCAAAAACCGTTTGGATTAATAGGAACTGGTCAATTTAATAAACCAACGAAAGAATTGTTAACTAA